ATGTAAACCAGAATTATATCATCAACACAAGATAATATTCATTCAAGAATAACTATCACTTGCACTGGCTTATCAGGTACGTCAAGGAATTAAATATATTTCACTGCCGCTACCACTTAAAGAAAAAATGAGTTTGGATCATGCAGTTGCATGGTGAAAATCTGGCAGCAATTGGAAAAAGTTGATTAATTGTAGCCAAGCGCGTAGCCAGGATTTTATTTTAGGGGGGGGGGGGGGGTAGTGAGCACGCAAAGCGTGCGAATCTCTTTAGGGGGATTGGTGCAGGGAGCGGGGAGTTTCCTTTGAAAGAAGACGATTCGTTGTACCTTTCTCGACTCATAATCATTGTCTAAATTCAGTCCGCCCCTTCTGCGCATAGCGCGGACGCTTTGACGTATTATTAGACAAAGAAGACGATTTGTTTCTTTCTCGACTCTTAATCCTTATCTGTATTCAGTCCCCCTCCCGCGCGAAGCGCGGAAGCTTTGACGTTTCATTAATTTATTAGAGAAAGAAGACCATTCTCGACTCTTAATGCTTATCTGAATTCAGTTTCCTCCCCTTTGATACTTTCAAGTTTCATTACATTATTAGAGAAAGAAGACGACTCGAAGTACCGTTCTCGACTCTTAATCCGTGTCTGAATTCTGTTTCCTCCCCTTTGATACTTTGACGTTTCATTAAATTATAAGAGAAAGAAGACGTCTCAAAGGACCATTCTCGACTCTTAATCCTTATAATTTAATGAAACGTCAAAGCTTCGCGCGAGAGGGGGGGGGGGGGGGGGCGGAACAGAATTCAGACAAGGATTAAGAGAAAGAAGATAACTCAAAGTACCATTCTCGACTCTTAATCCTTATCTGAATTCAGTTTCCCCCTTTCCGCGCGAAGCGCGGAAGCTTTGACGTTTCATTAAATTATTAGAGAAAGAAGACGATTCGTTGTACCGTTCTCGACTCCTTTTTCCTTTTTCTTCCTACGTCCTCTTACTTTTTTTCTTCCCTTTCTCTCTCTTTTTTTTTGGCCGTCCGTTTTTTTTTTTGGGGGGGGGGGACGACCGCCCCGCCGCCCCCCTGGCTACGCGCCTGCAAACATTTGAATTTACTGGGATGTTTTGGAATCATTACAGAATAAGAAATTAACTCAGTATTGCCGGAAGAAAGTAAGAAACACGCATAGCACGATTATTCGACAACACAGAAATGTAGAATAATATGAAAGTAATCATCTCCGTTGATGGTGGGCATCCACGGAAAGACAAGACAAACATTTCTGCTTTTTAAAATGATTGCATTTAATGGACCATCCTTTTCAGGGGACATTATATTCCACCACACTAACATTTACACAAAATGGAAAAGCTCACAAAATAATATATTTCCAAATACAGTCAAACCTGCTTTAGTAACCACCTGTCTACAAAGACCACCTGTCTACAAGACCATATTTTTTTTTATTTCCCTTGAAAATGGTTTCTCATTGAAACATGTACTAAAGGAAACTGTCTACAAAGACAGTCCTGTCTTCAGTTCAAAGACTACTTTTTGTGTTTCCCTTGGGCGGTCGCCGTAGACAGGTTTGATTGACTGTATGTATAAACTATAAACGATTCGAAACCCAACTTCTATATCGCAGTGCTCCCTTGCAAGTTTTCCTATGTATGTAAAATGTATGAATAGAGTGGTTTTGACTTTTGAGAGCTAAAGTAAAATGCAAAATATCTGCTACTCGGTCACTTTGTTCGATATCTTGTACAGTCACGTTAATAACATTGGGTGGGGTTTTTAAAAGGTTTTGAAATAAACGGGTCTGGAAGAAAAACTACGCTCTAAACCCATGCTTTATTACCGGGTCTTAGTTTGGAAGATGGTGGGGTCTTAGTTTAAAGGTTTTTTTTTTTTTTAAACTTTTGAATAACCGGGTCTGGAGAAAAGACTACGCTCGATTCTCATGTTATTCCACAGAAAAGGATTATGGGGTCTTAGTTTTGAAGATTTTTTTTAATTTTTGAAATAACCGGGTCTGGAGTAAAGACTGCGCGCTTTACCCATGCTTTATTACAGGGTTTTAGTTTTGAACAAATTCGACAAAATATCCCTTCAAATTTATTACATTTGAGGGTAAAGTCATTATTACATTTGTGGGTGATTCAAAATTATTACATTTGTGGGTAAATTGGTTATTTCATTTGTGGGTGAAATTATTACATTTGTGGGTAAAGTGTTATTACATTTGTGGGTGATTCAAAATTATTACATTTGTGGGTAAATTGGTTATTACATTTGTGGGTGAAATTATTACATTTGTGGGTAAAGTGTTATTACATTTGTGGGTGTTATTACATTTGTATTACCACTCTAAAATAATTAAAGTAGGGGGCAAAAATTGATTTTCAGAAAGAAATTTGCATGTTGTTATTAGACGTTACAACGATGTGTGAAAAAGCTTCCTAGTGCTCTAATATGCAAACTTTTAGAATACAAATTTTCTCGCTTGGTCACTACGCTCCCTCGTAAATAAATCTGACACAAATCACAAATCTAGCATAGGTACCAGAAGAAAGGGGGTATGTGTTTCCATCTATACAGTGTCGAGATCCGAGAATCAAAATATGTTTTTTGTTAAAACTCGATCGCTACGCTCCCTTGCATATAAGTAGAAACATTTTTCTTAAAGGTATTACAAAGTTTTGGTATGGGGTCATCAATTTGGTTTAAATTAACATATTGGAAGCGTATGCGTTCCTACAATATTTGTAAATTAAATTGTAAATGATAAACTTTTGATGTTGTATAGCTCCTTCTCAAGGTCAAGATATTAATTTAGCTATGAAACAGTATGTCTTGACTAAATTCAACCGATTAGCTATTCCCATTTGGAAATTATATATCACAACTACGTATTCTGAGATTTTCATGGTCGCAGCTACCATGGTACGGCCATAGGCGCTATTTGAAATTTATCAAAATTTACCGGGAGCACCGGTAAATTTTTATATTCAGTTTTTCTCGAAAACAGAAGTGTTTTAGGGGCTATTTTTTTATATACATCCACAGGGGCATCCAAATATATCAAAATTGTAAAGATTCACTATCCACCCAATTATCAAAATTTCCCAAAACTTTGTATTACCTTTAAGCTGCAAACGACGAAGAGAGAGGCAAATTCATTTTCCCCGCTAAGCTAGAATATAACGGGCCACCCCAAAATCAGTGAGGGCCAGAGGTGAGAGTGAGACTTAATAGTACCTCCCTGCCAAAACGCAAAATTTTTCGGACAAACCCTGATGGTGGTCTATCATGCTGGGGGGGGGGGGGGGGGCACCAACAAAAAAGGGCACCTTCAAAGGGAAATCCTCCAAGCGAAAATATTCAATTTTTTAGCCATTGGTATATACCCCTACAATACATTGGGATTACATTATCAGGGATAATTTCAATATTTGTTTCTCTTTTTACATCATATACTTTGCAGTTGGGAACGATGGTCTGAGAATTCATTTGCAAGCGAGCAAACTTCTTAAGATTTGTGAGGACGCAGTGCGAAAAATTACATCTTATAAAGAGGAAAAACCCAATCATGATGGGGTTATAAGCACATTCTCATAAGACATAACGGAAGACTAAAAGGACCTTTGATAAGTTACAAGTAAGCGAGCTTTGGGGGAAATTGCTCTTAGTCGCTTGAAATTAGGGGCACGTTTAATGATGAGAGAAAAAGGGGACACTTATCGAAAGGGTCAAGACACTTACTAGAAAAGAAAAAGAGCACGTGTCAAAGTACAAAGGCTAATTATCAGAGGTGAAAATGGGGCACTTATTACACCTAAAAAAAGAGGCACGCAACAGGGATGAAAAAGGATTTTATAAGAATGGGAAATGGGCATTTGTCGACGGAAAAGAGGCCCCAGTCAGATTTTGATAGGGGCATTTAAAAGGGGTGAAAAGGGGCATTCACGAAAAAGGGATAGGTTCCTTATTAGAAAGGAAAAAGGGGCATATATCATGTTTAAAAGGGTAATTTTCAGAATGAATGAAAAAGGGGCACTAATGATAAAGGGAAATGTGCATTTGTTGAAAGAAAAGGGGCACCGATCACATTTATCGGAGGTGAAAGGGGGCTTTTATGAGAAGGGGCAAGTGGCTGTTATTAGAAAGAAAATGAGGCAAATGTTAAAATAAACAAGGCACTAATCAAAAATGAAAAGGGGTAATTATGAGAAGGGTAAGGGGCACTTATAAGAAGAAAAAAGAGCATTTATTAGGAAGGACAAGGGGACGTGTCAAAATAAAAGGGGCATTTATATTAGATGAAAAGTGCACTTATCGAGGGGAAGGGGCACTTGTCAAAGTAAAAGGGGAACCTCTCAGATTTGAATAGGGCAATTTTCATAGATGAAAAGGGGCATTTATGAGAAGGGAAATGGGCTCTTTTTTAAATGGGGGCATTTATTATAAGGAAAAAGGGCACTTATTACAAAGGAAAGGGGCACATATGAAAATATAAGGTGCGCTTATCCGAGTTAAAAAGGGGTAGTTATTAAAATGGGAAGGGGCACTTGAAAGGAAAAGGGGAACTTGTCAAAGCAAAAGGGGAACCTCTCAGATTGGAAGGGCAATTATCAGAGGTGAAGGGGGCGCTTATCAACATTGACAAAGTTGTACTTCTTGTACCTGAACAGGGGAACTTACTAGAGATTAAAAAAGGCACTTATGAGAATGGAGAATGGACACTTATTGCAAAAGAAAATGTGAAAAAAGGGGTACGTGTGAAAATAAAAGGGGCGCTTATCAGAGGTGGAAAGGGGCGTTTTTACAAATTAATAGGGGCACTTGTCAAAGTAAAAGAGGTACTTTTCCTATGTAAAAAGGGGCACTTTGAGTTTGGGGGTGCCCCCTGCCCCCCCCCCCCCCGGAGCGCCGCCTTTTTCTACACTGCAAAGAACAGGGAATTCCATAATTTCACCAAGAGCAAAAGGAAAGGATTTAAATAAATTTACCTTAAAAAAATCCCGGGGGTGATGGGTAATCCGACCAGCAACCTGATGATTTGGTCAGCTTCTCGGCTTTTGATGAACTGGAATTTTGAGGACAATACTTGACGGTGTGCGCATTATCACCCTTCGCCCCACAAATAGGACACTTGTAAGCCCTAAGAACAGGACATTGAACGTTCCCCAAATCATCCTTCAGGACATGAGAGCTGTAGAAGCAAAGAGTTTCTTTGTTGTTCTTACAGAACACGCAGTAAGTGTTGAGGTATCGCTTCTTCTCATAAGAGACAGATAGGGTGTCGGTAAAGCTGGATCGAAATATCAACTCATCTTCATGCGGCGATGATGATGCTGATGGTGGTGGTGAAGCTGATGGTGGTACGGTGCTTGAGGGAGATAGAGCTGGCCATGGAGACATAGGGGGAGATAAAGCTGGCCATGGAGACATAGGCGGCGATGGGCACGGAGATGATGGCCACATCGCTGGTGAATGTTGTGGCATGGCCATGGTTGGAGGAGTTTTCCAGCTTGTCGAAGAAATGATCTCACTGAGGTTCAACCCTTTCCCCATGAAAAGATCCCAAGAAGATGTCTCCATTTTCCTTGAAGATTAATGTTGTATTGGTTTGTCACTCACGGACACGGGTGTACTGTTCTTCTCAGAAAGTTTGTACGTTATTGCATCGCGGTCAAGCAAAACCATCTGCATTATGCAATCTTCATCATCAACTTTCTAATCCAGGAGCTAGCGACCTTTTTTTCGGGGGGGGGGGGGGGAGAGAAGGGGGAACTCACCCTGATATAGTTTCAGTTCAAGTCAGTTTAATTTTGACTAACCTTACGTACTATTAAATATCGTCATAGTAAAGTTCTCAGACGCTTGTGAGTAGCATGTTATGTTGTCCATCATAATTTGCAGAAAATGTAAATGTGTTTAATCCATTTTAGGCCGATTATTATGACTTATGTGTGTGTTGCAGAACTTGCAGTCATTACGTGAAGAAATGACACAGCCTGGACTTTGGTGGTATCAGGGAGGTGTTTTCCCTGGTGGTATCACGGTGGTATACACATCAGCCCCAGCTTATCTAACCTTGGGATGAACAGGGGTGGGGAGAGTCCAGGATAGTCTGAAAATACAAACTCTTTACTTTTAGTTTCCCTCGTTCGGTGCCCTAGATTGGGAGACGAATTGTAGAGATCAAAACAGTTGTCTATATTTTGATCAGCTTGCTTGGATATAGCACAAAAAGCTATTCGTTTCCAGTGTAGAGCACACAATGAATAACTAGACAATATTGCCCAAGTGGACAGACAAACGGTGTAACTTGTATGGAATGGTGTGCACACGTACCACGCAGGGGTGTTATAAGTGAACAACTTTTTTTAGTTTTGTCTGTTTTATAACACGTCTTTATTGATTGATTATCAGCTTGAACAGGATAACCAACGAAAGCTCGAGAGCTTATTTCCAGTGGGGTCCCCGACATATTATGTACACAATTTATTTACACAATTACAGAGAGAAAAGATAATAATGATGATAAATAATATTAATAACATTAAAATAACATACAATAAAATATGCTTGTAGTTGTAAGCAAACAACTAGGGACCGGTGCTTTTAAGTTCTCTCCAAGGGAGAGCATGGTATAAATGAGGATTAATGACACTCGCAGGGACCACACGATTACGAGACCACTGCTCTAACCCCCCCCCCCCCCTGGGGGAGGGGGTACTCACATCATACGGGGTGTGCCGCTCTAATGGGTCACTTTTTCACAAAAAATCCCTAAACATGGTTCCCACTTCATTAACAAAAAATCTTTAAAACCGTTTTTTCAAAATTTCCATGCAAACAACCGAAAAACACCCGAAAATTGTGGAATTGTGTATTTTTTTCGAGAAAAATGCCCCAATCAACGTGACCATTATAAGGGGTCTCGAGGGCTTGAGCGGCACGCCCCAAATTAGTACAAAGGCTAATTATCAGAAGTGAAATGGGGCACCGTCTATACACCTAAAAAAAAGAGGCACGCACCAGGGATGAAAAGGGATTTTACCTGAGAATGGGAAATGGGCATAAATTTGTCGACGGAAAAGTGGTGCAGTCTACATTTACGCGTACTATTTAAATTTCTTTAAAAATAGAAGATTGATTTAGAAAAGAAAAAAAATAAGCAGATGGTGTATTTTACAATTCTCGAAATGCCAAACATTGAAGCGATCGAGCTCATAAGCCCCAATGACGGCTCTCGTCAAATGCACCATTTCCTCCCCTTCCCCCCTCTTATTTCCCCTTTTATTTCTGGTGCAGCAGTTAGAGTTTATTCCTGTCTGTGTACTTATGTATCAGAGTGGACCATACCACGATTATCCAAGCGGCAAAGATAAAGACAAAAAATAAAAAAATATGAAACATCTTGATAAAGGCTATAACCTCGATTTCTGGAATCTCAGCTCACTAAGCTGTTTGTAGGACATGCATGCTGCACGCGCAATATGCATGCAGTTACAGTGTACACGAAGCATGCGCGTTCAGTTCACGGACCTCGGATTTCGGAACTCATATTTCTAGTAAATAAATGGCTTGTTGATTCGAAATGGCCGTTTTTCAAGCACTTTCAAGAACTCGTACTTTATTTTCGGTAAAACCTGTAACTTCCACTTCATGCAATGCGGCTAAAAATTTGATTAGACTTAGAGAATACCACTGGAGGGGGCGGTGGAGATCTTCCAGTTTCAGTGAAAATGTCACCGACAGTGTTCTCGGCAGCATCAACTTGGGACGAAAACTCCTCATTGCCATGCGGCTAACATCAGGGCAAACGTTCTCTGAGCATGTCTCCACGATCTTCAGTCTGCTTACCCGACAGTGCAATGTGTATGCCGCTCAAAGATTGAGAAGGCTTGAACAAATGATGTGCTTGTACAGATCAATTTACTCCGAGCGATCGCTTCAATCCCTTGCCGTCGGCTTTGCCAGGAGATATCTGAAGGGAAAGAGGCGAAATTATGTTATATTTGGTGGTGCACTTTTTGCATGGGATCAGGAGAAAATCACCAATCGCCAAATTAATGGGTTAGCAAACTTCAAATGTTCAACTTAAAAAGTTTAAATAAGGAGTTAGTAACTTAAGTTAGTGTAAGAGGCCAATGGCAATACCCGGGTGTAAGGTTTCTATGCCTAGTAGTATGAGACTATGAGCCTAGATCTACGATTGATGCACGTCTAAATTCTTGCAGCCGTATTTTAAACTTTTTTATACTGTCGATCGATGACATCATTCTCCTTCATGCGCAAATTAATTAGGCTATATAACGTGATTACAACTTTTAACAATTTATAACTTGCTTATTTTTGGTCCAGCTTATTTCGAACTTTCCCCATTCTTGTTTTTCTGGTTTTTAATGAAAATTAACTTAGGGGTCTATTAAAAGGTAAAGTTTTGGGAAATTTTGAAAATTGGGTGGATAGGATAGTGATTCTTTACAATTTTGATATATTTGGATGCCCCTGTAGATGTATTGGACTATATGCACTAGAAAATTTAGCCCCTAAAACACTTCAGCTTTCGAGAAAAAGTGAATATAAAATTTTACCGGTGCTCCTGGTAAATTTTGATAAATTTCAAATAGCGCCTACGGCCGTAAAATATGTAGCTGCGACCATGAAAATCTCAGAATATGTAGTTGTGATATATAATTTCCAAATGGGAATAGCTAATTAGTCGATTTTAGTCAAGAAACATTTTTTTATAGCTTAATTAATATCTTGACCTTGAGAGGGAGCTATACAATATAAAGAGTTTATTATTTACGATTTCATAAATTTAGACTCCATTTCATCCGAGACAACGATCACTGAATATTGTAGGATCGCATATGCTTCCAATATGTTCATTTGAACCAAATTCATGACCCCATACCAAAACTTTGTATTACCTTTAATATCATTTGGGAAAAAGTTATTTTTGTAGGCCTACCCTCCACAAATTTTCAAGTTTTCACTTTAAGTGGGTTCCCCCTGATGTGATTATCACATAGGCCTACTGTACATGCAAGATGACTTTAATGAAAGCATGAAAATGAGAGAAAGAAAGTGGTAGGAAAATCTGAGAACAATTAAGGTCTGAGAAAGTTTCAAATTTTTAAAGTTGTAGCGACTTGCAAGTTGTAGCTCTAATTGATCAATAGCCAGTTCAGAGAATAGTATACTAAACGGTAAACCTAAATGTATCTGTGCATGGGAATATAATAATGGTGATTTGTACAAAACAAAAAAAAAACATTGATACGAATGCTGGATTAATTAAAGTTACGTTGTCATTATTCATTCATTTACTTAAATTATGAATAGAATATTTCAAGTGGAATCTTCTGTGTGCTGACATAGGCTTCCTACATTTGTATCTTAAAAGTTAAGTTAACATCAAGGTCAATCAATGCTTCCTTGCCTTTTTCATGTACAATTGTACATGAGTCTATCTATAAAATACACCGCAAGTGCATCAAGATTGTTTCATGGTTGTATCATATATCTACATATATAACTGATCCTACATTGTACACATCTTGTTTGATCATATAGCTGCCTTGATGATGTAGATCTGATCAGAATCTTGCGATCAGACCCAAACCCAGACCTGCCACAATTAAGCTCTTGGGAGAAGGTCATGGCCAAGTCAGAGATGATGGTGTGGAGGAGGAAAATGGATCACGATTACTTGTATGAATACAAAGGTTAGTATTGTTTAGTGCTTTTCAAAACAACTGCAGAATTTATAGCCAGTTCATTTGGAAGGATTAGTAAATTATGCATTGTATTTTTCTTTTTTGCAATGCATACAAAATAAGAAAATATTTGAAAAGATATACTAGTACTGGGCAATACCCAAGTACATCACTTCACTTGTGAGTTGTTTTTATTCTTTGTGGTAAATAGGGAAGGGGGAGAGGATAGGTGTAGGGGGTGCCATATTATCATGGCACACCAGGATCACTGGGAACTTGGGAAGAAACTTTCAAGAAAGCCATCAGATCTATAAAACAATGACTGATTATACTATTTCACAAATTACACAAGGAGGAAAGTTATTGAATAAATACTGGTATACATATTTACAAAACACATTGTGTAGACAAAAAAGCCAAAAACATATCATTGTCTTTCCTGGAGCACTCGACATTCTTACTACACTGTACATACACCTGTAATCCTTGAAATTTCCTAGTAATGGTTAAACAGTGAAATGCTGTTCATGTGTACTTTTATCCAGCATTCAAGTACATTTTCACCCCCTCTTTGCCTTTCTCTTTTTAGTGTTTGGAACATTCACCGACTGCACAGCCAAGTCATTTTTTAAGGTGCAAACAGATTTGGACTACAGAAATGTGTGGGATAAGCATGTCATTGAAACCGGAGTCATTGATCAAGATAAAGAGACAGGAACTGAAATCGTGTATTGGGCTACGCAGTTTCCAGTAAGTATTTTACAGACCGCCGCCTCCCCCGTAAAAAAATGGAGAGAAAAGATGAAAAAACAAATTTGAAGTTATGTATTTCTTCCTACAATATTTTCAGAAATAAAGTACACGTATAATAATGAATTAAATTAAGATGAGGAATAGCATAAGCGCATTGGAAGTAACACCTATGAGAATTTGAATTACAAAGGTAAGATTGAAATGGCCAAAATGGCCAAATGGGAAAACAGCCCAAATTTGATAGTGGAGACCTGTTGTATTATCAGTCAGAAACTCCAGTGATAAACAAAAGATGGGGGTCTACACTTCTGTTACAGGGGCTACAGCGAAAAATGTTTGAGTAGAAAAAGGCCCTGATTATATAAAAGACACTCTATCACTTTCCAGTCACAACTGATGAATAACCAAATTTATACATCAATAAAAACAATAGAAAAGAGTGAAATAAAATATCAAGGAATAATTTTATAAAAATAGATCTTACTCTGCAGTCAAAATTGGAGGGCTTTAAATTTACTATGATATGCTATACCTAACTGGACATTTAACCCTCTTATACCACACAAATAATCTCCCTGTGCCACATTTTACTTATTTTGGGATAGTTATACCAAAAATAACCTAAGGCTTCAAAATTATTTGATTGTTTTCAGTGTAATAGTAATCTATTCTGTGCCTCTCACATACAAAGTTGATAATATTGTATTTCACTATTCTCTGTTGAATGAATATTCAAAATAAGATTTCGGAATTGTCATATATATTATTCAAAAATTAGTCCTAAGCGCAATATTCGTATTAAAACCTGTAATTTAACCTTTACTATCCTACAGTTTCCAATGAACAGTCGGGACTACTTGTATGCTCGTCGCACCCAGATCTTCCATCGCCACCGTGTGATGGTTATATACTCCAAAGCTACTAATCACCCCAGGAAACCAGAGACAAAGCGTTATGTACGAGTCACAAGATTCTCCTCAAAGATGGTTATCAAACCCTTCACTAGCTTTGATGAGGTAAGACCCTTATTTGTCCTTCCCTCTTTCAGAAGAGAAAGGCAATGTGAAAAGATGATACAAACCCTTACCGCACTTGTATGGCCTTGTTCTCTAGCAATTCACCTTCCCTCACTCTTTCTAATCTCACATAATATTAACCCTATAGTGCCCTAGTCTAGAATATAATTATATTTCTAGGTTAATACAATAACATAATAAAACAATTTTGCAATAATTCTTGTTGTTACAATGAATATTTTATTAGGAAGAGTTGACATGTAAATCACCATTGCTTTTATTTACCATTTCTAAATTCTTCAAAAGAGTCCAATGTAGTTTTAATTGTACCTGTATCCCGATTCAGCAGCGTCGCGCCACCGCCACGTCCACCCCGTCCACCCCGTCATATTCTTGTGTGCGCTATAACTGCCACATTCCGAGATGGATTTCTTTCAAATTGTGTATTGAAGTGTATCTTAGTATAATCTACACACCTATAATTTTTGGTGATGCTGCCCCCAGTGTTCCGTCTAGGCTATAGGGTAAAAGGTCATATTTTTGTGGATGGATTGTGTTGCGCTCTATAGGCCACATTTCTCAAAGGATTTTCAAATTTTAAATGAAGTCAAAGGTCATATTTTGAGAGTTATCATCAGAGAGGAGGGCTCAAAAGAAATCTAAATCTCAGTCAATGATCATCCTGTTGTCCTCATTGATCTCCATTTCTGAGTCTGAGTTGTCCTCCTGGATCTCAAGTTCTGACACAGATTTGGGCTCTGCCTCCCGATCCATCTCTTCTTCTTCCTGCTCTCCATGATCTTGACTGCAGCTGTCTCTGCCCGTATTTCTCCTTGATCAGGACGACGCTTGCTGCTAAGTTGCCAGGCTTTCACGGCTTGCTTTGTCTCAAAGGTACCCGCAGGAGCACCTTCTTGTTGAATCAGGAGAAGGTCGTCCATGGTACTTGTGGAGAGTGATTTTCAACATTCAGTAAGCACACGCTTCATGTAGTGCTGTAGCCGAACCGCTGAACCGAACGGAAGTTCGCCGAACATGGCACTTCCGAACCGAACCGAACCGAACCGAACGCAAAGGCCTGGTTCGGATGTTCGGCAGAAAAAAGTAAACGCCAATAAACCTGTCATTTTTTACCTAATTTTCATGTCATGATTGCTCATTAAATATTTATTTTTTTCCCAATTTCCACCTTTGTGATATGCCTATCCAGTGGTGGGTGCGACTTCACTGACGCCATTTAAGTCCCAAATCCTGACCTCTGCTACATCGCGATCGCAAGCCATAAACAAGAATACACATGTGTACTACATGTAGGTGCTGATCAAAACAAGTTCAGCCCAAACCCATTCAAAAAAACAAAAAAATAAAATAATCGTAACAATATCGGACAAATTTTACAATATAAATAATGAAATAAATATATATTATAGTATGGTATTTATTTATTCAGGAAAAATAGGGATTTTATATTTTTGCTATTGAAAATAAACACTTATAAAAAACAGTGATTGACGAGCCTGATTAGCTATTAAAGATGGCAGCTTTCATGACTCTAATATTAGACAACAACCGTCTCGGAAAATCTTTTAAAAACATCATTTATTGACAAATTGAAAACATGATTCTTTTAAAATTAAAAATAAAATACGATTCAAGACGGAAATACGAATGTAAGTAGTACTTTTCTTCACAAATAATTACGTTTAGAGCAGTTTTTAATATAAAATTTGTGCTGGTCCAAAGCAGTGTTTTTCAACAGGAGTGGGCAGAAGTCCTCCGTGCTGGTCGGGCCCGGCCGGGCGGCACGCTCAGTGCCGACCGCCGTGGCTATAACGCTGCTTGCTATTATATTACCGAACCCCGAACCGAACCAAGTTCGGGTGAAAAATTGCCAAACTCTGCCGAACCGAACCGAACACGAACATAGCGTCTGACTTACAGCACTAGCTTCATGGCTGAGAATACCTTTTCTAATTCCGCATTAGAGATTGGATAGATAGGAACAATTGCCACTACATGTAGGATGTTAGCATATCTTGTCTGCAGCAGCTTTTTGTAGCTGAGACAACTTTATGGCTTGCTACTCCCGCTTTACCTTCTCCAAGTCGCACCCATGGGACAGAAAGACAGCCTTGAAGTGGTCAAGAAGGAAATTCACCTTCTTGTTACATATCAGCCGGCCAGGATAATAGATCAAACACTGTGGCATTGACAAAGATTGGGTTTCCTTCAAAATCTTCAAAGTGCTCCTGTATACACTCCTGGATTTGGGCCATTGTAGTCGCCCGCATGGTTGACAAATTCTCTTCTGCTGTGGCCAAATTTGTCAGAACAATATCGCTAAGAACAGCTCTTCCTTCTTTATCTTCTAGCAGCTGCTTCCTTATTGCTTCTACATCAATTTCCGGGTTGGTATCTGGCTCCTTCAGCCTATTCAAGGCGTTTTTTGCCAATTTATGTATTCTCTATCAGCCTATCACAGGCACAACAAGAGTATAGACAGTTGAAGGCAAATGGGCATAGCAAGTACTCTCGACGAGCCCACAAGGTAGGCCAGTGAAGAATCCGTAATCTTCCTTCATTGGGCCTATAATCACCTCTTTCCTCTTTTTTCAGAGCAATGTCTGTTGCTATACGGTGAATTTGTTCTATTTGTTGAATTTAACTGGATGTGTTTAGGTGCAAGCTGCTTCCTTATTGCTTCTACATCAATTCCCAGGTTGGTATCTGGCTCCTTCAGCCTGTTCAAGGCGTTGTTTGCCAATTTATGTATTCTCTATCAGCCTATCAGTATCACAGGCACAACAAGAGTATAGACATTTGAAGGCAAATGAGCATAGCAAGTACTCTTGACGAGCCGACAAGGTAGGCCAGTGAAGAATCTGTAGTCTTTCTTCATTGGGCCTATCACCTCTTTCCTCTTTTACCAGAGCAATGTCTGTTGCTATACCGTGAATTAGTAATTTGTTGAATTTGACTGGATGTGTTTAGGTGCCATGCAGGAACACCATGCTTCAAGTATAGGCAGAGCCAAGGCCTGATAGAAGACAAAGATAGCAAAGGTGAAGGAACCACAGGCTACAACTCTTATGAATCCAAGAAGACGACTCACACAAGCAGTAATTGCATCAACATGGCAGTTCCAGGAAAGATCAGTACTGATCACAACACCAAGATATTTACGTGAAGATACAGACAAAGGCTGTAAATCCCGCAGGGTATGATCTTGGTCTTGGAAGAGTTAAAGGACATGCTATTGAAGATTTTCCAATTGTAAAGAGAGTCCAGATGTTGTAACTGAATTTCATCATCAGGAGTGTGAATGATACAAATTAGTAACATATCAACAAAGAGGTTAGAGGAAACATCAGATTCACAAAAATGATGAACAGTAGCTGGCCAAGCACACTGCCCTGAGGCACAGTGGCACACCACAAGAGACCTTACTTAAAGATGGAAGAAAACCCAGAAAGAGCACTCTTCGGATTCGATCTGACAAGAAAGAATGAGCATGTTGAAATCTTGATAATCAATAAATACCTTTTTTTTTTTAAAGAAAGAAAGTTCCCAGTTCCAGGTGTTACCACAAATGTTATACTTGACTGCTAACTCTGACAGCAAGGAATTCTGTCAAAAGCCTTTGACAAATCTAAAAAAAAATGCATCAGTGTGTGGAGGACATGGTTTGTCTAGCATAGTAGCCCACTTATACCTTGACCTACCACTTTAGTTTGTATCCTACTTTGATGTGTGGATCATGTCTGACTCTGACTTAGCTCAAACCCCACAATTTGAGACTGGTTGGAGTCTGGTTTGAGTTCCAAGCTACAACATTACATGTACGTGTATATTTCAGTTTGGAGGGCAAATGGTGTTAACTCGTACTTCGATTCCGTGATCAGCACTTCTATTGCTTTAGTGATAAGGCAGGAAATTCTACATTCATATATCGAACAATATCTCCTTGCAAGATCAATACTTAGCTTACATTTAGGGTTGTGCGTATCATGCAACAAAACAACAAACCTCAATTCTAACAAATATAATGTTTTTACATATTTTATTGACAGAATGGATTTGACTACATGCTTACATATCATGATGACCCCAAGGCGCCTATCCCATCTTCTGCAGTCAACTGGATGGCCACTACTGGTGAGTTTTCATACAACTGTAGGCAGGATCCTGTATGGTAGCTTTAACTTCCTTACCACATCAACAAAGTCCACCATACTACCAAGTTACTTGAAATAAACATACAGACCACAATCAGTTATGAACTGGACAAGGAAGTTTCTAGTACCTAGCCTGGTTTGACTCACAGCCCTTCTGTTCAAGTCATTTCTAGAACAATTGAGAAAAGTAGAAAAATTAAGGTTTTTTTTTGTGTGTGTGCCTCCTCCCACAGAATGTAGTGCTGGAGCCATGAATGATATCTCTATAAACAATATCACAATATCCCAGGAACCAGTTGAGGTATGAACTTCAAACTTGATGATAATATGTTTCACCATTGGAAAACTATCTGATCAGATTTTGGGGTAGGAAGGTCAAAGGTCATGGAGGTCAATGTCTGAAATGACAGGTTTTAGCCTCGTTATTGCAACCTGGTGATAGTATGCATCAGATGTTGTGGTCTAGTGAATAGGTCAACAGACTGTGGATCACTTGGTTTGCAGTATGAGTCCCACCAGGGCACTAACAGAGATGCCAAGTAGTATGGATTTCCCGTAATTTCTACGGGAAATCGGCCGATTACGGGCGGTACGATTTTCATACCATAAATCCCGGATTTTGCCGATTATGCCGATTTTCAAAATTAGCACTTTAAGGTTTAGCACGTACTTTTGACTATTGCAGCGCAGCCATCCTTGAATCCATGCATAGAAATCCCATAGGGCTTCCGATTGGACAATTTGTTATCTAGCACACCCCTTTCACAGTGCAGGTGCATACATGTGTGTCTTTGTATATTCTGACTGTGTACGTGACGTGTGCGTGTGTGCCCAGCAGAGAAAGACAGCTTCGCGAGCGGGGGCCGGGTGAAATACCTCTCTTGGCCGCGCCGCTACCGTGCGGCCAGCGCCAGGCCTCGCTAGGCTAGCGCCGTGTACACTGTCGGATTTCTCACAGGCTGTCACAGCGTTCGTCGATTTTCGTCGACAATCTGAACTCATGTTGGTTGGATTTAGATATCAATCATCATGTCTTCCACAACTAAGAAGCGTGGCAAAAAGTTACAGACTTTTAAAGAAGAATACAGTAAGAAATGGAAATGCATCGTTCCTTCAAAGAAAAGCCTGAATCATGCTAGGTGCACGATATGTGCATCAGGGAGTTCATCCAACCTTTCAACAGAACACTTTCAATGTGGAGTTGACAGCAACTAATGAGCTTACAGGTGCAAGAAGGCTGCAAAAGACTATAGCATCATATCAGAACATGTGATTGTGAGGGAGTTCATCTAACCTTTCAACAGAACACTTTCAATATGGAGTTGACACCAACTTATGAACTTACATGTGCAAGGACGCTGCAAAAGACTATAGTAACATATCAAGACATTTTGTCATGAGTTCATCCAGTCTTTCAGTAGAATACTTTCAATATGGAGTTACATGCACATGTAACACCAACTAATGAACAAGTATGTTACTTTTATTTAACTTGTTGTGCTATCGCGCTTGCCTGCGGGAGCTGCGCTTGCCAGCGTGCAGAAAAATTTGCATCGCGCAGAAAATTACTGATTTTGTCTCCAAATTACTGATTTTTAGCCTTATGATTATTGATTTGTGCTCTGAAAGGTTGGCATCCCTGCACTAATGTTCTTTGGCAAGAGATTATTATACATTTGCTATATAGGTCAAAGATCTTAGAGGGTGAATTCAATAAAATTCTGGGTACTTAGCATTATTTTCGCAATATGATTGTGAAGAACCATTTGAGAAAATGGACCGAAACCTTGGTACTAATATTATCATCATAGAGTGATGAAATTATTAGATTTAGGGTTGCTGGGTCAGAGGTTAATTAACTTAATGTATGCCGCGGCATATTAGAGACACAGTCATGTTTATCTTGATAATATCTTGATGATCTCTTTAATCTCCAGGTGTACCAGACTTCATGCATAGGGTTCACAATGCTGCTCTTGCTTTAGATGCCATGCCAGGCTCCAACTTCAAGGATATGCAGAGTGAGAAACAGTACACCACCAATGACTCCAGCTGCTACAGTTGAAGGAGATACAAGAATGATGAGAAGAGAGAAAATTTTAGGTTGGCCTCAAAGATATGAACCGCATTACCAGTAGTACAGTCAAACCTGTCAATACATATGTACATAAGATACCATGAAAAGGGGCTTTTATTTTGCTTAATATTATACATTGCATTAAGAAGAAGGAGAAATGAAGCATCATTAACTAAAGGTTTTGAGATAGGTGTGTACAATGGTGCAACACAAGTCTACCTAATGTCAGAGCTTGACACTAAATCAAATATTTTATTAATTCAAGTATTACAAGTTATTCTTAGTATGAGAGCAATGTGTGACATAAAGGCCTGGGCAAGTATTCAATTCAATACTTAAGTTTGAATTATGAGTATTTTACTTAGTTTTCGGCTTAGACAAAATACTTAGCCAAATTTGGTATACAGTTCAAACTTTTGGCTAAGTATTTCACTCTATATTTAAGACAGCTTTCTACCAGACTTGAGCCAATTATTAGGAGGCCTTGATTTGCAGGCATATGGTTTTCTTACGCAGTATCATAACCTGCGCACAATTACATTAGCGCTCATTTTTTATGACGCGTTAATTGCGCATTACTAGATTATATGTAATGTCACACTGTTTAGCAGTAAGAGTTTTGCTGTAAAGTCGGCTTGCGAAAGTAAATTGCTTAGATTTGATCTTGAATACGACTTAAGACGATTTACTTCGCTTAGCAAAAGACTAACTAAAGTTTAATTAACAAAGGATGGAATTGGATACTGACCCAGGTCAAAAAAAAGTTGTGGTACAAAACTACACAAGTCTTCAATCTACATGTATTTGTATTTGATTACTTGATTCACATTTAGATGCAAGTCTTTAGACAAGGGTACCTTTGCCGACTGCTAATGTGAAACCCCAAACATAACTTTTTTTTCTTCAAATTAAAGCTATGTAAGTGTGCTGAATTAAAGCCTAGGCTTTCATTGACACTTTGCTGAATATAGAGTAGCTCAAATTTAGCACAAAAGTGCGTCCTGTTTTTTGTATGTTTTGATTTTTCACTTTTTAACGATCAGTGGTTACATGTATAACAGAAAGGAAAAAAATCAGCCACTCTTGATGAAAAATATTTAGAGAGGGAAAAAAAGGGCTTACTTGTAGGTCTGGCTGAGTAGAAACTACACCCTTTTGCATTGGTCATTTAGAATAATTCATTCCGTTGATATTCATCTTTCTTTATTCCTCTGTTGGTATGTAAACAGAATTCATGATGTCATGCAGTATTGCAGCTCATGCCTGAGATTCTATCAAATACATAATAGAGCATAATTAAAATCCACCATGTGTTCAAGGAGGTATTCCCTGTGTGCTTTTATTATTCCACCAACTGTATGAACTTATGCCAGTTTTTTTCTGATGGTTTTGTGAAGTTCAAATGAATTCATTAAGATATTCTGTGATGGCAGACGCAATTGTATCGAAACTTTAAAGGTAAAGACCAGTTATGGTCATGCGATTGCCTTGTGAAAGAAACGTTGTGGAATCGATCAGAAAAGGTTGATCATCTAGCATATAAGTATTGGTGTGTACTGCAAGGTTCTGGAATCATCAAAATGATAAGAAATTTGGCCCGGTCTTCTTAAAGTTACAAGCACTGTACACAGAAAGATGTATATGGGACTTATACGCACATGTGCGTTTATCTCTCAAAGACCATGTAGATAAACTAATTTACCAAATATATCAATTCGTAGGCAGTTTCCCGGCAAATTTGTTATCATCATGTATTAGTCAAAACATATTCTTTCACATGATTGGTAATAAGAGCTTCCATTTCATTTTTTGAAATTGGGGCGTTTCCAATACTGGCCTTTACCTTTAAGCAGGGTAATTTTGGCTTTATGCCATCTAGAATTCTAGATATCAAATTATAGGTTTGTGGTGTATTGTAAATTCCAGTGGCTTTTTCTACCTTGTATCAAAATAAAAACTTGTCTTATATATGGATTGTTGAATGATGATGATAATCAGGATTGTTTCTCTTCTTGAAGGCATTTACAACTAATATCCATTTTATGTTCATCTTTGTTTGGACAAGCAATGCATAGTGGCTAGAGTTAAATTTACCAACTGTTTGCCCAAGACATTTTGAGTATTGCTGCACATGAAATTATATGACTCTGATAGGTCTGATGCAGTATTTAAAACAACTATTGACTACTTATTTTGGGGGGTCCTGGTTAAAACTTTAGCTCCTTGATGATCTTGAGACTTTACTATACCCCTGGACTTTGTCTTGGGGCACAGTGCAGTTTCAAGATCACCTATGGCAATAGTTTTAACTGCCCCTTAAAGGTACTATGTCCCTTTTGCAGGCCAAAAAAAATGAAAAGGTTAATTCCAATGGCATTTGAAAGATAATACTAATTTAGAACTCCCCTTAAAAAAATGGGGCTTAAAAATGCCTTTAAATGTGAAAATAACGACTATTAGTTGTCAAACCGAATAGGAGCTATAGAGCCAATAAGTAATAGTCTTGATTTTCAGACCATTGTACCGCATGGTCGTACGTTTTATGCTGCGCAAAGACTCAATCAGTTTAATTTAAGCCATTACAAGAAGTTGGTTATTGATGTAGACAAATCCTTTACAGTGCATTTTGTGTATGATATTACCAAAGAAGAAGAAAAAGCCAGTCAGTCACTCAATACTGACAATAGTGTCTGACAGTGAAGTCTAGCAAGTAAACGGGTTTCCTTGCATAATTTGAATATTAGGACACTGCTAACGTTTAAATTTCACAGATATGACGTACATGACATATTCATAATTCCTGCAAAGTTCTACAGACTTTGAGGTTGGCTGCAAAAGAGACATAGTATCTTTAAAGCAGTCAATATTTATATACTGCACTTTAATTTTATGTGCAGTGCTGTGATAATAAATGATGAAAATTACATGTATTGTGATTATATATCTAGTAAACAAATAACTACCGTTGGTGAAGTTGATGGGACAAACTATCACTTCCGAGGCGATCTGGACGTAACTATCTTTCCGAAGCAAGGCTGAGGAAAGATAGCGTATACATTCAGATCACCGAGGAAATGGTAGTTTGCCGTCGCCTGAAACCAAAAGGTGATTATTTGCTTTATATTCCACATCTAAAACAATTTAACTACAAAAAGAAAAGGACGTGTATGCATCTACATAAAAGACACCATGCCCAAATTCACACCAAAAAAGTTGAAACAGTTTAACCCAACCCCTTGAGTGTACGGTGTGCGCATGTGTTTGTTTTAATTGCACTCATTGGTAATGCGCGCTTAATTACGCCTGTTTGAGTGCGCTTTTGGATAATCTTCAGTGAAAGTGCGTTGCCCTGTGTAGATAGTACCTCTATCTTCAGTGAAAGTGCATTGCACTGTGTAGATAGTAGTACTATCTACACAGAGTAACAAACTTTTTGCTTCTCCCATCAATAATGGGCAAACTATCTTTCATCCAAGATTTACTTTTGACAAATCATAGAGCAAGATTCTTAGTATCTTTATACTATATATATATATATACTATATACTCATCTATATATGCTAATTACACCGCCAAGCCGATTCAAAGCTGACTTGGACATGGGAGTAATATAGTTTTGTTTGGGGTTTTAATTTTTTACTCTGTTATTGGTCTTTGCAGTACGACTGGCGTACATGCCATATAAAGTATTCATTTTTTCACGAAAGCAAATAAAGATAAGTTTAACTAGCATTTGCTGTTTCTATCATTAAGCTTACATGCAACTTTGTTTCTCCCTTTGTTTTAACTGTTTTACTTGTCTCAATAAATACGGTTAAGTACATGTATGTAGACTTCAAGATTCCTTGAGATATATTTTACACATAAATAACCTGTGTGCATCCCATACTGCTGTGTGTTTGAACATTCTGTATTCTGCCATATCTGGTATTTTAATACATATGATTATTTTGTGATAATCAAAGTATGATATGATGTTATTTGCCTGTTTTGATATTACATTTATTTGTGAGCCAACACAAAAACTAAGGTTTCTTATTTCTGATTTAATTTTACATTAGTAGAGCAAAGCTGTCAATAGAAAATAAACTCATGTACATATATTTGAGCATCTTTGGGCATCCTGAGGGATGGATATGCATGTGATATTAAGGTAACTTAATGAAGAAAAAAAAAATGGAACTGTAAAATTAGAAGCCTTTGTGAGTGATTCAGATTAGTAAAGGTTTCATTCCCCCAAAAAGATGAGTGTCAACATCGAATTTGCAAATTTGTGAAAATTTCTGGCCTTAAAAATGCTTGTTGACAAATCTGATCATCAATATTTCTGGTTTTACAGTAAATGATGCTTGATGAATTGAGTGAGACAATCACCAATGATGGATGTCATTTCAGCATTGTAATGTGAACATTATTAAAGAAATTAATTTTTTGTGTGTTGAATTCTTATCAGTATTGGAATCATATAGAATTCTAATCAGGATTTTTTTGGCAGCACATGCCAGAATTTCAAATGGACAAAAGAAGTCAGAGATTTGAAATTGTTAGACGATAGTTGGAAGTTCTGAACAAGCTATAGAACAAATCCTTTAAATATTGTTAACATCTACAATAATAGAAAAGCAACGCTTTCTTTAAGTAGTTACAAAACAATATAATTGGTGATGATGTGAGGGCTTCATCAAAGAAGACAATTTGTTTGGAAAATGACAATAGCATCTTTGATGTTAGGAAGAGTGTGCTTGGTGTGATAGGTCAAATAATGAAACACCCTGTATGGGACAAGATAACAACTATTTAATATTGTTGATTGAACTGACACTGTAGTCTAGATTGAAATACCTGGATATTTCTTTAAAAGAAATAAAGATATCAAAGAACAAAAATATTTGGAGATTTCATGTTCAATTTGTCTTGTCTCTGTATTGTTGGCACGTTTGGGTACTATATGTATCATATGTAGAACATTTTGTTAGACATATTCATATATTTAGTAATAAGAATTTGGAGACGGGTCTTAAAAGGGTTGTGAAAATACCTGTTCTGGAAGTTATACAATCTGCATGTGTAGCAGAAATTGGTAATAATAAATTAATTGAATGCAGGTTGAGGAAAATCGGAGGCAAAGTCGCATTCATCTTGTTTTCTTACCTAAATCAGATTAATGTGGGTAAAAAGTCTGTTATTTTTTCAATTTTAGCATTTAACATTCCATTATGAAAATATCAATTATTCTTTTATTGAAGAAATTGATTCTATTTCCAATACAATGTTGAAAATAGCCTTTTATCAACAAATAAATCATCAGCAGTAAAAAGTCATATAGTGCACCTTGTAGACCTACATCTAAGGTAAGTTGATATGATATGAATAAGATGAATAATGTGATATTAATTGGAATCATACCATTCACGCATGAGTAGGCATAGCCATTTAATTATAAATTAATCTCTGAAAAAAAATGGGGCATCTGGGATTTCAAATGTTGATGAGCGTTTCCATCATGTAGAGTCAAATTAAAACAATGAAAAATGAACAAGAACAGGAAAGATGAAAGGAGAGGTATCTTGACTGCTTGTCAAAACCATGCAGTCCTGCCTGAAACTACAGTTGACATCCAGAGCTCAATCCTCATTCTGTGCTTTAATCATTGAACAAGAATATATCACAAATGCACAATTTTCTTAATCAGATCTTCTAACAGTGAATGTGACCATCCAAACGTGAAAGTTTAAAACTTGATCATAATTGAAAGTGGTAGAGTATTTGTTATATACTTTTTATACTTTATTGATGGTTTATGTGAAAATTTTGAACAACTTTTAGTCTCTAATTTTGCGATATATTATTGCTTAGAAAATAAATGCAAATAAAGAATTATAGAATGAAATTAAACATAATAAAAGGCAATAGAGTCCTATTTTGAAATGTTTTAATTGATGGCACTTGAGCATGTTATATCACCCCTTTGGCTTTCTTTTAATTCTGTATGATGCTGTAAAATGTGTTGCGTTATTGTTCAGTTATTTTCATAATATTAGCTGCTCATACCCATTATATTGAAACTATATTCTAGCCCCATGTACATGCAATCGGAATGGCAATATTGAAGAACACAACATGGCATAAAATGAGATGGGCAATTGAAAGGTTTGTTACTACTATTTACAATGAATTCCCCCCCCCTCTCTCTCTCTCTCTCTCTCTCTCTCTCTCTCTCTCTCTCTCTCTCTCTTTTTTTCTCTATCTTTTTCTGTCTCTTTCTCTTGCTCTTTCTCTCTTTCTATCTCTCTCTTTCTCTTGCTCTCTCTCTCTCTAAATG